GTATTTATTTATTTATTTATTTATGGCTGTGTTGGGTCTTCATTTCTGTGCATGGTCTTTCTCTAGTTGTGGCAAGTGGGGGTCACTCTTCATCGCGGTGCGCAGGCCTCTCACTATCGCGGCCTCTGTTGTTGCGGAGCACAGGCTCCAGACGCGCAGGCTCAGTAATTGTGGCTCACGGGCCCAGTTGCTCCATGGCATGTGGGATCTTCCCAGACCAGGGCACGAACCTGTGTCGTCTGCATTGGCAGGCAGATTCTCAACCACTGCACCACCAGGGAAGCCCCCAGATTTTCTTTTTCTTTTTCTTTTTCTTTTTTTTTTTTGTCCACTTGCATGCTCTTGGGAATTGTGTGTTCACACTGTGTCCATTTTTGATTGTGCCATTAAGAAAAATTATGTATTCTTTACATATAAAATATACATTAATCCTTTGTCATATGTGTTACGTTTATTTTTTCAGTTTATTGAACTTTTTTTAAACTTTACGGTCTTTGGTTTACATGAATTTTAAATCTTTATCTACTCTAATATAGTATAAACTTTCCCCTAATGTCTTTGACATTTTTTTAAAGCACACTTTGTCTGTTTTAAGGTTTTGTAGCTCTGTTTCTTCCTAGAGCTTTTTACTATATGTGGAATTCACTTTAAAAATGAATTTTACTTTTCTTTCATATGGAGAGCCAGTTATCCATAAACTATTCATTACACCATTTTTTTATACTATTTTTAACGTTTATTAAAACTTTACTATTTAAATACTGATTAAAACTATTTGAACATTCAGCTATTTATTGAATAGCTTATTTTTGTACCCTCACAGCTTTGAAATACCATTGTTGTTTCATATTATGTTCCCATCTATTAAAGGATTTATTTCTGAGCTATTTGGTTCCCTTCATCATTTGTCTAATTTTGCTCCAGGATTATACTGGTTTAAATACTATGGCTTTATAGTATGTTTTAACATCCTGTAGATTAACTTATCCCCTCTTTTTTTGTTGTTGTTCAAACATGCCCTGGCTATTCATTTTTCAAACAATCTTGTCATGTTTCTTAGCTGGTTGGGCATTTGATTGTATTAACTTTATAACTTGTTTTGGTGAAAACTTACCCAAGAAAATCAAAAAAATATTGATCCTTCCCATTCAGAAACATGATAAAACTATTTTCAGATTTTCTTTTGTGTCTTTTAATGTTTTTTTAGTTTTCTTCATATGGGTCTTGCACATTTGTTATCTTTAGAAATTTTATGTTTTTAATATGTCGTTAATGAAATCTTTTGGTTTTCCCTGTTATTTTCTAATTGGTTAATGTTGTTGTGTAAGCAAGCTATTGAATATGAAATCTATTGATTTGTATATGATGATTTAATATCTGGCACCTTATGAAACTTTTATTAGTTCTAATAAGTTGATTCTGTTCTATGTAGATCATTTCATCTACAAGTAACCTTAGTTTTATATCTTCCTATCCAATATCTATACCTCTTAATTTATTTTTCTTGTCTTATTGCATTGGCTAGGGCCTCCAGCAGAATGTCAAACAATACTTGTGATAAAGTTATTGACACTATTCTTATGCTTCCTTATATGATGTTGAATAGGATATTTGCTATAGGGTTGTGGTAACCTTTATCAAGTTAAAGATGGTTCTTGTTATTTCCAGCCTGTTAAGAATTATTAGGAAGAGGTGTACTGATTTATTAATGTTGTTTCAAATTTTATTTTCATTTTTAAAAAATTTTTATTATTTTTTTATTCAAACAGAAAGTCACAAAAATTATAATCATCCTCATCAGTTCACTCAGTCCCATGTAATTAATTTTTTTTTCATCTTGATCTTTTGTTAGCACTTTTATGAATTCATCAGTTTTCCATTAGAGTTCTGAAAATGCTTATTCATTCAGTTCAGCAGTATAGTCAGTTACCAGAAACCTGTACTTGTCAGAGTCTTTTCTATGAATTCCTTGAAGATGAAACCCTTTTATAGGAACATTTTTGCAAAAGCATCAGAGTATACCCAGAACTGTTTGTAAATGACAAAAGACTTAAAAATGACCACAGTTAAAGATTTGATGAAAGTTCATAATAACACAATTGACAATGAAATGTAGTTATTTCTGAGATATACATTTTAAAGTAATAACTAGAATTATGACTTATAACATTATACCAGAACATATAAGATTTTTAGAAATTTCATGTAATGTCTGAAACATTTATATTAACATATTTCCATACAAATAACCCACAGAAAGTTAAGTATTAGGCAAAATTTATTTTTATAGTCATTTATTTTGGTTCTTTTCTAATCTGACAATGTTGAGAAATATGGCAACAGATTTCCTAATGTTTAACTATCTTTATATTACTGGGATAAATCTTATTTGGTCATGATATGTTAGTCGTATAACTGAATGTTGAATATGTAATATATTCTAGATAGATTTTGGTTAAGACTTCTAATATAAGTTGGTATTTAAAGCAGTTTATCATTAAGTTTGCTGAAATATACTTCTGCCCAATACTAGGTAAATGTGGTATTTTTAGTGTAGGGATTTCATACCCAGATTCCAGCAGAATTTTGTTATTTTTCTTATGTAATTTTCTGGCCTTTATTAACAGATACTAACTGTTCAACTTCTTACATGTGTACTTGCCATGTATTTTTATTAATGTTCTGAGAAGATATTTAGTTCACCTGTCACAGATTATAGAGCCATCCTAAAAGATATGTAAGAACATCACAATAATACATTTGCCATGTTCTCTTACTTTAGTGCTATTCTCTTCTTTCCTTTACAGTGGTTACCCACAGAACTTGATTAGAAATTTAGCTCTTCTAATTATTAGCTAGTAATTTCACAGCTATTTATCCTCTCTGAGCTTTAATTATGCCATATGAAATAACAAATTATAACAATTATAGCTGCGCTGATAGACCCTCAAGAACACACCCACATATTGAGAGCTTGTACATATTTTCAGCAAGGCAAAATTACTCAGCTATTAGTAGAAGACAGCAAAAAAGGAAGAAAAAAAATGGACTCATTTGGACCACCTGTCACATCTTCTTGGACCCATACATTTCTGCTTCTTAAATCCAATGGGTAAATAGGTGAGCCAAGCCAGACAAAAATATATATGGCGGGCTACTAGCAGGCTGTTGTGGAAGGATCGTATAAAAAGCATATTAAAAGCTTGATCAGCAATCTGTAGCTCAAGGATTTTACGATTACATAATCCTGGTTTACATTACACACTGAGCCCTTAATAACCTGTTTCAACCAATCCTGAAATTGTTTGGGGGCTCTTCTGCCACAGGAACACTACTTCTTAGCCCTTGAAAGCCCTACTGTACATAACACTTCCTCATGGGGTTGTTATGAAGCATAAATGAGACATGGGATGTAATAACATCTGGCATGGTACCTGCTGGTTTTGTAAAGATGAGTATTTAAATACTTATATAAAGCTTTAACCAAAAATGCGCCTGGCAATATGCCAAGAAGAGGATAAAACATAATTTTTTTAAAGTACTTTCTGTAGAATCTAGGGGTGAGGCAGATAAATACGTGGCACAATACCGTGTGATAGTCACCAGAGGTTTAAGGGAACTTACAAGCCAGGCTCGGAACTGAGACAGCATGGAGCCCACAGAGCTGTTTGGTTACATCCGGAGGTGCTGGCCAGTGGAAGAAAAGAGAAAGCCTAGTCTGGTTATAGGGCACAGCCTATTCTGAGGCATGGCGTTCTGACAGGCGGACACATCCGGGAGCTGCAGATGTGTGGTGAGGAGGTGGGGTCTTCACCTGAGGCTACTGTAGAGGGCTTTGCAGGGTCCACATCAGGCAAGTTCTTAGAGCAAAGGGCCTGATTATTCCTCTTATGCATGACTAAGGTCTCACCATAAACTTCAGAGTTTCAAGTTGAAATGCCCCCTGGCCTCAAGGGCAAACTGATGTAGTCACCGCTGTTTACTTGCAGCCCAAGAAACTTGCTATAGAAGTCACCTTCAAGTTTCTATTCTGCCCTGTGCTCTAACCTAAGGAAGAAACTCGGAGTTTGCAAATGTAACCTGATAACCAAATTTCCTCATTGGAACACTTCATCTTGTAGGTATTTTCAGGTTATTATGTTCTGGCCTGAGGGGAAGATTCCAGCCCTCACCTTTCTTTCTTCTTTCTTTCTTTTTTCCCCCTCCCCGTCTTCTATTTTTCTCTTAGAGTTAAAAAGCCCTATACTGGCAGGATTTTAGAACTGGAGCATCGGAATGTCTGTCTCAGTGAGCAGCCGACTTCCGGGCTCTGTATTATAGCATCATTCCCAGGTTCGACGGCTGACTCAGAAGGAGACGCTCACCCTGGAATCGAAGGGAAACAGTTAAGTCTTGGTAGTAGTGCAGGGTTCGCTGCTGTTCGTGCCACAGCCGAGTGTTAAGGCGAAAATTCAACCAACCAAAAGCAAAATGAAGAGGCTCCATGCTTTTCTACTCCTTGCTGTCTGGCGATCTGTTAAGGGTGGTGTCTTGCAAATTGCAAGCCCAGCGCACGCTCGAACCTCAAAGGCAGGGAGCGTCGGGGTGCGGCCCTGTCCCCGGCGCGGTGGCGCGCACACCCCTTTTCTGCAGACTCACAGGTTTCCAGGCCCCGCCTCCTCCGGGCCCAGCTGATCTCTGCTGCCCTTTGGGCCTGAAACCAAGGAGCCCAGAGCCCCACGCCCTCGGCTCCCGGCTCCCGGCTCCCGGCTCCCGGCTCCCGGCTCCCGGCCCCCGGCCCCCGGCCCCCGGCCCCGGGCCCACCCAGAGAGCGGCGGGCTACAGAGTCCCCACGCCCTCGGCTGCCGACCCTCGGATCCCGCCCCTGGCCCGCTCCGCGCACTCTCTGGGTCCCGTGAGCTCCGGGAAGGGAGGTGGGGCGGCTGGGCCGGGGGCGGGGCGGCGGCCGCGGCCGTGAGCACGCCCCCCGCTCGCCTTTCTCTTGGCCGGCTGGCGCGACCATGGAGGTCTACATCCCGTCCTTTCGCTACGAGGAGAGTGACCTGGAGCGGGGATACACGGTAGGCACCAGCCGCGGCGGGACAGGGCCGCGCGAGCCAGGCCTGCGGCTGCTGAGTCCAGAAGGTTCCTCCGGCAGCCGCCGTCCCTGCGCGGGGTTGAGGGGTGGGGTCCCTTCGCTCCCCTCCCAGGGCCCACTGGGAAGGCTGCGCCCCGGCGCGGTTGTCAAGGAAACAGGAGCCCCCTCCCTGGCGCGGCGGCGGGCGCTCGGGGTGCCCCGGTTTGGTCCCTTCCCCCTCCCCGCCCGGCTCCCGGCCTCTAGCTAGGAGCGCCGGGAGTCGTGTCCTCCGACGCGGCGCTCGCCATTCTCCCCGCCGCCAGCCCTCTGGAGCCCGGGATGGGCTGCGTTCGTTTCTGGCACAGCTTCTCCTCTGTCCAGACAGAAGTGTCTTTGCGGGCGGGTTGATGTTGGTTTCCAAGTTACGTAGGGATTCATTCAGATGGAAAACACGCTAATTTAAAAAAATCATCATTTGTAGAATTTATTAGCCAAAGCAAACACCTGTGTTGCTTTTTGATGATTCCCAAAGTTTTGTTGTTTTTTCTCGTTATGCAGTGCCGTGAAATGGCAAAAATCAGGTACTCACTGAGCACCTGTTCCATACCTAGGACTGTGGTCTCTGAAGAATGAGAAACAGGATCCCTGCTTTCAAGAGTGGAGGAGTGGCAGGGAGGGCAGAGACAATGAACTGTAGGTAGTTGATTTCCCAGCGAACTTAGACATCTTCGTCTAGACAGTCATTGCTAGAGGGAGAAATGCCTCAGCCTGGGATAGACCTTGGAAAATTTTATTTCCATTTAAAGAACAGGTAGGCTTTGGGGAAAATTGCACAGGGCACTCTAAAGGATTGTTATTTTATTCACTTATTCACTTGTTATTTAATTCACCCACTTGCTAAACTCCAGTTACATTAGTTTGGCAGAGAAGTATTTTAATCTCTCCTCTAAAGATTATTGGGTTTTGGTGACAACTTATTTGGAACCTTGTGTTTTCATAGCGTGGATTAAATCACCCTCTCAAAGGAATCTTTAGAATTAAGAGTAGTGATTGAAAAAAAAAAATCCAAGGAGTATGTGGGTTTCTAGAATTAAGTAGACTACTGGGTCCATGTATCCTAAAACAAGTTCTCAAAGTGCCTTCCCTTGGCGGGGGTGGGGGGGGGGGGGG